TTCACTTAGGAGTTCAACCATTGTCTCTAAGGTCTTGAATATTTTCTTTTTTGTTCTCTGTAAGAAGTATTATGTATATTCTTTGGGAATTGTCCTTTCTGTGTAGTGACCAGTAAAGGATGACGTTTGTCCAGTTGTAGGTTCGGCACTTTTCAGTTGATTTGGGCCTACTATTAATAAATAGTATGGACTCCCTGCTTGTTAGGGGTATCTTGCAATGCTGTGAAAGAAAGCCACGTCAGATCTAAAATTACAGGGCGGTGTAATGATGAACCTACGGCATGTCAAGTGTACTGTTCGGATCCTGGCACAAAGAGTTTAAAAAATGGGGCTGTTTCTCTGTCCTGACTCGACATTGAACATGGAATAAGACAATTCAGAAAGGTGATAATAGAAAGGTTCTTCTTTTCCCATCTAAACGATGAGGAAACCATTGTGGGTAGAGGCTGCATAACTCACCAAGGTCTCACGGCTGGAAAAGTTCGAGTACATGTTTGAAATGGGTTATGTACCTTGGAGCATTTGTTTCAGGCTGCACCTGGTGTGTAGCAATCTGCTTGGCCATGCGTGTTTTCCAGAGCACAGACCTTTTATTTTTTTACACTCCTCTCCCCTTATTACCTGGCACTTGCAAACTTGTGAAATGAAGAAAGTTGCTATTAAGATGTAGTATAGACTATGTGAATTAGCCTATGTGACACGTGAGGGACATTGAAAGTTGTTTGTCCAGAAATTTAGGCTTTGAATCTGAAAACAAGTAATTTTTCTTTTCTTTTTTCTTTTCTCTCTCTCTTCCTTCCTTCCTTTCTTCCTTCCTTCCTTCCTTTCTTCTTTTCTTTCTCTTTTTCTTTCTTTTGAAAAGGGAAAAAAAACCAAAATTTCAAAACAATATAATAGGAGGGTAACAATGGTTGATACATTGCATATTGCTGTCTTTAAATTAGTTATTCAGAGTACAAGATATCGGCATTTAGTTGTCCCAACAATATTGGCACAAATGTTTCTTTTCAATGAACTAAGAGAAATTGGTAGTATAACTATCTTGTATATGTGTGTATGTGTGTGTGTATAGATAGATAATTTTTTTTTTTTGCTTTTTCCTCCTCCTTTTCTCCACCTCAGTTTCTCTTTCCTTTTGCCAGTTTTTTTTTTTTTTTTTTTTTTTTTT